TTCTGTGTGGCTATGTTATCAGCCCTCTGGTAAGAATCTTGTCTTTCAAAAGGAGACACATGAATTCATCATCCTTGATCCCCCCCCCCCCCCCAAATTTTTATACACACTATAATATTAGTTTTCTGCTTGGGTCTGCTATGGTTTTAGGATCCAAACCCGAAAATCTAAAATTTAAATCAATGTGTTATGATGCCTAATAGACAAAAAAAATCAAAGTCCTAGTTGCATCTCTTCATTTTTTTACTAGGATTGTTTTTACAGAAGTCAGGAGACCCCCATGAAAAAAACCCAAAACAAAACAAAACAAACCCTTCTTGTTTGGAATAATCAGGAAGGCACAGTCATTGGTGTGCAGATTGCCGATAGTCAAAAGGTTCTTAGTGCAACAGTATATACAACCCCAAGGCTACACCAAACAATTTTGGATTTAAAAGTCCTTTAAGATGTAATCATTGGGATGGTAAGTTCCAGTTATTCAGGTTTATTCATCAGCTCTATTCATTTGTCAGTAAACACTGAGTATCTCCATGAACTAATCCTCTTACTTCCTGTGCTTTAAGCACCTTGGTGGCTTCCTGTTGCTGTCACAATAAAGAACAGGATCCTTCACAGGATACACTAGGTCCTGCATGATTGGGTCTCTGCCCACCCAGGCCTCATTTTGTGCTATTTGCCTTCCTTTCTCCCTGTGATCCAGACATACTTATTTTCTTTTACTTCAAGTAGATCTTGATCTCACCACCTCAGGGCCTTTGCACATGCTCTTTCTTCTGCCTGGACTGGAGACTGGTGCACACAGTTTTTCTCTTTCTCTCTCTCAGTCTTTCCCTCCCTACCCAACCCTCACTAGGCCAACTCATCTAGGTCTTGTGACATTATGGTTGAGAACATGAACTCTGAATTCAAATCCCACTTCTACATTTTCTGAACTCTGTGACTTTGAACAGTTACTAAAATTTTTTGAGCTTTATCACCTAAATGGGACTATTTTGATGGTTCAAGGTAATATTACATGGAAAGTCTTTAGCACCATTCTTGGTACATTAACATACTCAATAAATATTTGCTGTTATTAGCTCTGTTCAGTTTTTAGGTCTTAGTTCAAACATCTTTTTTTCCAGAGAGTCTTTTCTGTTCCTCCAAACTAGATTGGGTTCCCTTTTTTACATCCTATAGAACTCTGTGCTTTTCCTTTAGAGATGTTATTGAGACCCATCTCCTCCAACACACACTAGACTCTGAACTCCATGAACACAATGGCTTACCTGTTCACTCTTGGTTCCCTGTCACCTGGGACATTGCCTGGCACAGGGTGTTACTGTTGAATGAATGAAGGGTGATCAGGTAGCTCTCTGTCCCAGTGCAGCTGTGTGGCTCTAGCTTTCCATCTCCCTGTTCCTCATTCCCATGTCCATCTGTCTGCCAGATGGACTCTCATGCCTGAATGGGAATAATCCTGCCATGCTCCCTGGCTCCCTGGCTGTTTCCCTCCTCTTGCAGCTTCTTATGCCTTTTGTTCTGGACTCAGCAGCCCCGGCTGCTGGCTTTGGTTGAAGCCTTCTTAGGGGAGTCCTGGGTTAGCCTGCTTGATTCAGGATTGGATTGATGTCTTTCTGTGTCCAGCAACTACCCCCCACCCCAACCAGCCATATCATCCAACTTCAGATGCCTCTTCACAAATAATCAGGGAGAGACGGAGGGAAGGCCAAGAGGCTGCTCAGAAAGATAATAGGCTGGGGCTTTATAGCAGATTGTTTAAATAGTAAGGAAAAGCTCTGGGCATTGACTTCACCAATAAAATAGACTACAGCCTGCCCCATATTTTTCTCTTGTGTCCTGATTGTTCTCAAAAGGATTGAGGCAGCTTCCAGAAAAAGGATGAGGTTGCCATAAAGCTCTAAAGCCTCTCAAAACAAGGTTGAAAGCATAGGGATCTCCTAACAAAAGAACATGGAAGGAAGAGAGAACAGATTTACTAGAAATTAGGAGCCAAAGAGGTGCCACTGCCACGCAACACTGAAGTCAGCCAGGAGCAAAGCAGAAATGCAGGGCTGTGCCGGGATGGTCTGGACAGTGGTGGTTATGTCCACGCTGTATTTTGCCTCATGTTAGGCTGGGGAGAGTTGCTCTAGAGTTACAACATTATCCTAAGGCAGGGGCCTCAGACTTGAACTTGTATAGGAAGCTGGCAGGTTGTAGATTTTCAAGGCAGGCTGTGTCCGATGTGGACCAGAGTGGTCTTCAGCACGTGCATGGCACCCACAGGGTCCTGCCAGCTGTGCGTGGCTGTGTCTGTTGTGATTGGCTGGTATCATTAAATACTTCCGAATATCACCCTGCAAAAGTTTGTGGTGTCGACTATGCCAAACCGAGGACAAATGCCCCTCTGGAACCACGATACAGCTGCAGCTGACTGTTGACTTGTGGCAACAAGGGTTCAGTGTTATGAGATGGAACCTCTGATTATTCAAAAAATGACAAAATCTAGGTTCACCTGAGAAATCCGACTTAACAAATGTTGGCTATTACTTAAAAAAGAATACTTTAACATTGCTTTTTAGACAAAACATGGTTGAATTCAGCCTGTGTTCTCCCTTCAGGATTGGTTAGACTACAGGTGGAGCATCTGTTGAGCGCCTAGTATGTACTAAGCATTCTGTCTTCTGTCTTCTTGACGCCTCATGTCATGGGATGATGATGCTGTTCAGATGCAGAACAAAGCCAGAAAGGTTAATTAGTCATCTTCACATCAAGCAACTCACAAAAAGGATTTTGTGACAACTCGCACCTGCTGGCCGTCCGTGCTCTGGTCATTGGACAGTCAGGGCAGCAAAGGGAAGCCAGAGAGGGGGTGTTAGGAGGTGTTTCGGAGTGTCCTAGATTCAAGTCCTGGTTCCACCACTGCTGCTTCCACTTCTCTTTTGTAAAATAAATAATAGGATAATAGGATCTACTCAAAGGTTTTAGAAAAATTAAATGAATTATAATAATGTATAGCACTTGCCACAGTGGCTGGTTCTTGTTATGTTTGCAGACGGTTTTAAAGGATGAACTGAAAACTCATTAAAAAAATTGCAAACAACTGTTTCCTTTGATTTCCCACCTTCGAGCATTTATTTCTCCTGATTTCCTTTTTCCCTAGAATTTGTTTTGGTTTGGCTTAGGAAAAGCTACTGTGTTTTTACTTCCGGCTCTCATTTTTGCTGTCAAGCTGGCCAAGTACTATCGTCGCATGGATTCAGAGGACATGTACGATGAGTAAGTACGGAGGTCCCACGGGGGCCGGGGGTCCCTTTTCTGTGTGGTGCCATCTTCAAAGAGCTGCTAATGATGAGCTCTGATGAGATGAAACTTTATGATGATTATTTTTTGAGTAGTGGGTCATTTCTGTCTGGGCGATTTTTGTTTGTTTTTGTTTTAACTATTTTTTTCCTCTTGCTTAAGCTTCTCAGCTGCCTTAACCAGCCTCCTTCTTTCTTGTTTGCAGTTCCTCTCTCTCGGGGACTTGGCATTTCACTTTATGATAACTGTTTTTACTACTTTTCATTTTGGCTCCGTGGCCTGCCCCTCACTCTGTGTCTGGTGAACGTGTCTGTTCCATTTTTTCCTTCACCCCTCTGCTCACCACGAGTTTCTCCTGAATTTGCTCTGTCAGCATCTGTGTTAAACCAGTGGGGGATGTGGAGGTTGAGTTTGCATAGTAATGAGAAAATAATTGTATCTCCCTTTTTTGTATTTTATAGTGTTGAAACTATACCCATGAAAAAGTAAGCTTTTTTTTCAAGTATATTCATAAATGGGATGGGGGAAGTTTTTATTATTATACGATGAACTTCTAAAATTAAATTAATAACATCTTCCAATGACATAAAAACAATAGATATGTCCAGGTCAAAATAAATGGTGGCACCTCATAAAAAGAGGGCTGGCACCTAGAAGGTGCTCAAGAAACACTTGTTGAATTAGTGAAAATTTTATATATTAAATTTATTAATCTATAAAGTAGTCATTTCAGTCTCTGGATTTTAAAGGGAGCATCATAGACAAGCGTACTTCAGAAAATTTGTGGAAAAGTAGAATTGAAAGATCCTGTGAATCTTTCCATGAACTTTTCAAAGCACCTTTGTAAATATGCCCTTTTACCTTCTTTGTAGATTTAACAAATTGTCACATACTTTTCATGACCATCACATTGTCTTTGTAATCCATGATGTAATACTTCACCTTAGAGATAACATGGTGTTTTTGGTGTATTTATTTTTGTTACAGTATGGAAAATGGTAATAATGGTTATCATAAAGAACATTTGTATGGTATTCACAATCCTGTTATGACAAGGTAAAGTCTGGATGTGCATGCCTGTCCCGTGACAGCCCTCTTCATCCCCTGTAGTTGTGACACTGAATTTTGTGCATGCTTTTGGTGCCGTCCACTTTTCTGTGTGTGATTCTCTATGAATGGCTCATCTCCAGTCATACCCTACATAGCATTCCATGATGCCATGTATTTAAATATTCTATAGATTTCTTAACAATGGAATTGTTCAGCAACTAAAAGTTGTTGTCACCTTGAAGTGCTATGTATGACTGTAGATCATTAAGGATTAAATGCATGCACACCTTTCTTTTAGCATTTTTCTGCACCAAATAAACTGAGTATAGTTTTCAAAACCTTCCCTCCCTCCCTCCCTCCCTCCCTCCCTCCC